ATCCATTTGGTTAAATAAATTTCTGGTATTATAGCTGATGTCAGTTCGTGATGAAAACCCCATATATAATTCCCAACTAAGGCAAATTACGACAACTATTGTGAACTGGATAGTAAAAGCACCAGTAACATTGGCTGTAGCCACGTATTATAATATATAAGAATTAGAGAGCGTAAAGACTCTTACATAGGCTTGGTTATGTGCATTGTTTCGTTATCCACAATTAGCATTTTGTGCACTCAACAACCGGAGTGCATGTAAACAATATTGAAGCTATGTGGTCGAGGTTGAAAGATTTTTCAAGACTTTATCATGGCTCCAGAGGCCAACTATTCTGTAGCCGTATGGATGATTTCCTCTACTGTATGTATTACGATCTTAGAACCTCTTTCTAACCTTAACAACTGTTTGAACCACGTATAAGAAGTGTATCCACTTTATTTCTTTGGTTTTGTATAACATATTTTCACTCTATACTGATTGTTTGATGATTGACTAATATCTCTCAAGGTCACTTCAGATTCGTTCAAAAGTCGTCCATAAATTAGAGTCTCGCCGGAAAATTTCTTAATTTCAGTTGGTTCTGTTGAATTAGTTTCTCAACCACGGAAAGTGTGAACAATAGAAATAACATTTTCACGTAAGTTCCAGACTCAAAATACATTATATTTTAGAAATTTTGAACTCTCATATAACTCAATTTAAAAGTGATTGATGAGAAAACAAATTCGAAATGGTTTTAACGGTCTAATGACCCATTTATTCCTTTAGTTCTCGTTAAAATCCTCTGTTCTACAGATGTCGTTCATTTTAACGGTGAACAAACACAATTTTTAAAGTCTTTTTAATGAAGTTAATTTCTCCTTTACTATCTAGGATATCGGAAATATAGGTGATGGTGTAGTGTAATAATGATTGTCACCCTAAGTAATTTATTCCGTAGTCAGAAATATTCATTTTTTACTAGCTAGATCACAGCAGAAATCCTTAAATATTCCTTGTTTATGGAAGTGAAAGCTACGGAAATGAAAACAAAGTGAAATGGTGGGGAAGATCTATAGCTCAGGTAAAGTTGCGACCCCTCAGCTGGATGATTTAATTGTTTTTCCATATGTTATTAGCAAAAACGTCACATATAAGTGAGCTCTATGTATTTCTTCACTTGACTAGCAACTTGTTCTGGAAACTTTGAATTTGATAAGTTATTGCTTGCAGTGTTACTTTTATCCTAAGTTTGTGTTCATGATGTTGTTCAGAAAGACAATGAGAGCTGCATGACTGAAAAATCCAGCTAAGAGGACACGACTTCACGAAAATGTTTGCATATTTGGAATTTTTTATCCAAATATTTTTTTAAAATTATCCTGTTTTACCTTTCTTGCTGCTTCAAATTTCTGTTCCAAATACCACGATTGGTGTAGAAAAAGATTCCCATTAATCCCTTAGTATTACTTAGCTTTAATTATAATAATAAACCCTTAGTTGAAATATTAAACTATATTTCATTGAGGAAATAAACAAAATTAGAATGTCCGAAATACACGGGGTCACAATATCACATTCCCAGAAAAACTGATCTTTAACTGTTATACCTAAGTTTATGAAATTAAAAAAATCCTATTTTTTAATGAAATAATTTATTACTTTCACGTAACACTACCCGGACATCCAGGATGCAGTTGGACGATCTGGACTTCGCAGATGATCTGGCCCTTCTATCCCAAACGCAACAACAGATGCAGGAAAAGACGACCAGTGTGGCAGCAGCCTCAGCAGCAGTAGGTCTCAATATACACAAAGGGAAAAGCAGAATTCTCGATACAACACAGAATGCACCAATTCAATCACAATTGACGGAGAAGACCTGGAAGATGTAAAAACCTTTACGTATTTGGGCAGCATCATTGATGAACAGGGTGGATCTGATGCACATGTGAAGGCGCGGATCGGCACAACAAGAGCGGCATATTTACAACTAAGGAACATCTGGAACTCAAAACAACTGTCAACCAACACCAAGGTCAGGATTTTCAATACAAATGTCAAGACAGTTCTACTGTCTACTGGGGCAGAAACCTGCAGAACTACGAAAGCCATCATCCAGAAAATACAGGTGTTTATTAACAGTTGTCTACGCAAAATACTTCAGATCCATTGGCCGGACACTATTAGCAACAACCTACTGTGGGAGAGAACAAACCAGATCCCAGAGGAGGAAGAAGAGCTGGAAGTGGATAGGACACACATTGAGGAAAACACCTAACTGCATCACAAGGCAAGCCCTCACATGGAATCCTCAAGGCCAAATTGGAGGAGGAGAGAAAGACCAAAGAACACATTACGCCGAGAAATGGAAATAGATACGAGAAAAATGAACAAGAGTTGGATGGAACTAGAAAAGAAGGCCCAGGACAGAGTGGGTTGGAGAATGCTGGTCGGCAACCTATGCTCCATTGGGAGTAACAGGCGTAAGTAACACTATCCAGAACTAATGCTTCAACCTTTCCCAATCTCAGTGACAATTAAATTCGTAGGTGTTTTTTTACCAGTTGGCAACTATTGTTACATATTGCGGTAGTTTGATCAGAAAAAGTTTCCTCAACCTGGTATGCAAGTGAGAAGACGAAGGATGAATAAGAAGATATTAGCCACTGACATAAATTTTCCTTCGATATATAAGCCAAGATCTTGACAATAGCATGCTTTGTTCGTCGTCTCTCAGTTGCTGTATGACATTAGGAAAAAACGTAAGCACAGGCCCTAGATGTACAATTCTACTCAGCATATCATTTGTCTTTGCTGAAAAATAAGGCTATCTTCTTGGACTTAGCCACCTGAGTTAAGATGGATGTACATCAATCTCAGAAATGTACACCCAATATCTTACATGTGATCGGATCCACGACTTTCAGATGTCGTGCACAGGACACTGTTGGAATGCATCGACTCACCAATCTGATATATATAAAGTCCAATGTGTGAGATCATATAATGGGTTTGTTGTGAGACCACAAAGTACGTAATCTGGTCAATGGAGAGTTGAGTTCACTCATCTGATAAATCTCAAGCTATGACATAACCGATGTCTAGAGCATCTTGGTCGCCATGGTTTCCCTAATGCTGACCTCAATCAATGACAGAAGTCACCTTCACATTTAAAATAATCTCCACAATCTTTCAGTTAAATAATTTATATACATGTACGAACTAAAGTTCCCATCTAATGAATTTATCTTTAACTGTATCCGTTTAAATTTTTATTAAATGCCAACTTCCGCTATCTAAATTAATAAGTATTGGAAGTAATCCTAACGATTATATATATATATATATATATATATATATATATATATATATATATATATATATATATTACCCCACTAGCATTATGAGTGGTGATTGAAAAGATTAATCATCGAGGGTGCGATTCAAGTTACGCGGAATTTGGAAGAAGTTTAAGAATGGACGCACCTGCACAAGTGCCATCCAAAGTCTCTAATCATTGGTTCCGATAATCACGCAGACCCCAATCAGTTGTCTACACCTATTAACATGGCTCACTCCAGTTAATGACTTCATGGACTGATGCAATCTCATTTTATATATTACTACCATTTAATTAACTGCTTCTATGAATTTGTTCATCATGTTGTTGCTAATGAGGTATGGTAACTTGGATCAATGCATATATGTGCCTGGTTCTATGTTGTAGATGACTGACTGACTTGGTTTGACCCTCCCATCAGTATCAGATTAATACATTTTCAATAACATACATTGGATAAAATCATCAAAATGTAAGTTCCATCCAGTACATAAAATATGGACAAGTTTTTTAAGTCACTGTAACAATATAACTACATTGATTTCGAGAGATTATTTTGAAATGACTAATTCATAATGAGATTATGATGTATGTATTGTCTATTGTGAACAGTAAACTGATGTCATTATAGTCGCGAACCAAGTCATTAAATTTTAGCTATATATAAACATATATGTCAGTTAAGACACTTTTTTCAATTAAGAATATATTTCAGACTTGATACCGTGATTAGAATGATTTTGTTATATCCGGCGAGAATTATGAATGGTAACTCCTGAGAACTATTTATAGACAAATATTATAGGTAAATTCTTAATGTATAACTATTCAGTAGCCAGATTGTGTATATTTATACTCCTCTTATTATAAGCTTTATTTTGACCCATAGACTATTATTATACGATTTACTGTTCTTGAGTTCTGCCCAGTCTATTAATTACCATCTACAACGTTCATAGACACTTTTGGCTAGATTTTTTACAAATGTTGTTCACTATTTTATAGTGTGATGTGATTTACTTGGCTTTTATATAATCCCAATATATTTGAAATACATGATTCATATCGTAGAGGCTGAGATTGGTGTTCTGAACTTAACAGGCAAGAAGCAGGACCGATAAAGACTTCAGACTGCTCGTACGAGTTTTATGCGTCATTGGTCCGGTCGATAATTCACTGTTCTCTAATTAGCGGTATCAGTATGTTATATACTAATAGGGCACAAGACCACAAGTTATAACAGGTTTCCCACTGGATAGTACTATCAAACTCATATTTGGTGCTGGGTTCGATTCCCGAACTCAGGGTCATGGGTGTACACTTCTGAGAAGTTCCACGCTAGGATGTAACGGCCACTTACTGTTTCCAGGTCTTTTAGTTATGTTTTAACTAAGATTTAAATTATAAGAGTATATTTGTTCAGCTTATTGTACCAATACAATCCTAAATGACCGAATTGTTTCCACCTTAAAATAAAAAGACAATTTATATCTATCAGAATTTTATAAAAAAAAACCCAAAAATTTGAAAAAATTATTAACAAAGAAAGAAACATTAAGATAAATTATCTTCCGATGGTAAGGAATAAAACCTGTCTTGACGATTTCAACAACCGATGAATGAATAATACATGTTCCGTAAAAAAGACAATTAAAATTTACATGATGAATTATCATTATTTACAGTATCGATCTGATTTCATTTTTTCACGTCTACAAAGATAAAAGAAAAATACTAATATTGACTTTTAAGTTATATTTAGATACATATTAAAGTAAACTATGAACTTAGTTTATTAATAATATATGTGCTTCAAACAAGTGGTACAACCGAGAGTAGGGAGAGTTAGCTCTCCTCTATATGCTGTCACATGGCCACGTGTATACAACCAGTACCAGGAAATCCGACTCATTGCCTTCTCGCAACAGCGGTGTTGTTTACGAAATTGAGAGGACGAAAAGCGAATGTCCGATGTTTTAACCGGGTCGGTGGACACGGAGAGTCCACCTAGGGAAGTTAGAAAACTCTAATTCCAAATCAACTGTGCACATGGGCTCCAGCATCCTGAAGGAACAAATGACGTATGAACCTATTGTTGGTCACCGGTTACAATGGGACTACATCTCCTGACGTTGCTTCCCTGCCTTGTGGGTCAGACTTTTGGGTCGAAAGCTCCGTGTGTGGCCTCCCAAGAAAACCAACTGCTTCGGTTTGGGAACCCGGGAAGTATCACAGCTCACACTGGTGCCTCTTTGTTCCAATGTTTATGTGCTTAAATAAAAAACACTATTATAGCTATATTGAAAACAATGTTTTGCTGATATAATGTGATATCTCAGTCAGTCAGTAACAGCGACAAACTTCGTACGTACGTACATCAGTTCGAGTTGCCACACCACATTAGCACAGAGATGCAGTTGTCGATTCAAATCCCGTAGTGGTAGAGGTAATAAGAGTATAAGCAGTAATCGGGAAGATTAGGGTTTGGAGATGTTATTTAAAGAGTATAATCCAGTGAAATAAATTTGGAAAGAGAAAAAAAGAGACAATGAAGAATAAGGAGATTAGAATTTGGGAGAACACAAAGAGTGGATGCACCTGCGCCATTGCAAACGATTTTGAGCCATGTCATTCAGGGTCTCTAACCATCGGTTGCTATCATCTCGCGGTCCCCAACCAGGTAGTCTACACCTACCAACATGACTCAGTCCACTTGTCAGTGACTTCATGGACTTGTGCCATGTTTTGGTTTGGCCGCCCCTAGCTTTCTTCCAACCTACTCCTATACCACTGAACATAGCACGTCGAGGCAGTCGGTCGTTGGGCATACGTAACACGTGTCCCAGCCATCTCAACTGATGAAGTTTCACTACTTCATCAATTGATTTGCCATCCTTACCTAGTACCCGTTTCCTAACAACTGTTACTTACTCGATGGTCCCATGATATACGAGCAATATTTCGAAGACACCTATGATCAAATACTAGTAACCTACGGATATCCTCTACTCTTACCGGCCATGTTTCACTGCCATAAAGTAGGACGGAACGAACTGCTGCGCAGTAAACACGTCCTTTGGTTGATAGACGGATATCTCGCCTACGCCATAAATGACGCAAGTTGGCAAAAGCTAGTCGAGCCTTCTGTATCCGTGCTGAGATTTCGTCACACACCAGACCACAAGGGCTGATGAGACTTCCAAGATAAGTGAAGCGGTCGACACACTCAACTACTTCACTCCCTATCACTAGTTCGGGTGTCGATGTAACCCAATCCTGAAGCAACATTTTGCATTTCGAGGGGGAGAATCGCATCCCGAACATGCTTGCATTGTTGCTTAGAGTGGTCAGAAGACTCTGCATTTTGTCAGCGTCTTCACCAAATAAAACTATGTCATCAGCATATTCTAAGTCAACAAGTGAACCTCCCGGTAGAAGTTCAACCCCTGGAAATTTAGATGAGGAGAGTGTTATCTCTAAAAGTACGTCTGACAAAGTTGAACAAGAATGGGGAGAGTGGACAGCCCTGACGAACACCACTTGAGGTAATCAATTCTGATGACAGTTCGCCATAAGCTCTCACTCTACCAGTTGTGTTCGAGTAGAGAGCCTTTATAAGGTTAATGTACTTCTTTGGTACTCCTTTCAGTGACAAACACTGCCATAGAACCTCACGATCAACAGAGTCGAATGCCGCCTTAAGGTCGAGAAATACTACCATTGTGGGGCGTCTGAATGTGTGTCTGTGTTCTAGAACCTGACGTAGTGTGAATATCTGATCTATACAACCACGTCCAGGTCGAAAACCAGCCTGGTTTTCTCTAGTCTGCTCTTCACGAGCTTTGTTAGGCGTCGAAGTATTATTGAAGCTAATATTTTAGACACTATATTAGTCAAACTGATTCCTCTGTGATTGTCACAAGAGGACTTTTGTCCTTTCTTATAGACTGGCACAATCAGTGATTGAGACCAGTCAGATGGGATTACGTCCAGTTCCCAAATTCTACCTAAGACCTCAGTTAATCTCATTGCTAATACTGGACCACCATCCTTAAAAATCTCAGGAGTAAACCTGTCAGGGCCTGCTGCTCTCCCTCGTTTCAGATTTCCTATGGCTTTTTCAACTTCGTAAAGAGACGGAGGACCTACATTAACTTGCCATTCAGGTTGACTGGAGATCGTGGGAAACCGAAGTGTGGCTGAAGGCCAGTTGAACTGATCCCTAAAGTGTTCTGCCCATCGATCCAATCTCCTGGATTGAGAATGAATAATATGTCCATCTTTCTCTGAGATTGTTTCGCTAACAGTCGGGTTCCTAATTCCGGTTTCCTTAACGAGTCTGAACAATTGTCTGCTATTACCTATTGCCGCTGCCTTTTCCATCTCTCTTGCTTTCGCTACCCACCACTGTTCGCGATCATTGCGTAGACTTCTTGTCAGCTTGCGCTTAAGCTGACTCCGCTCTTCATTATGTTCAGAGCCAGGTGGAATGAGTTTCCGAGCATCTATCAGTGCGATAGATGCTGCTGAGATCCAGTGTTGCTCCCTAACCTTCTGGTTTACCTTACTAGCAGATATCACTGCTGTTTCCACAGCTTTTCGGATATCATTCCATGCTGCATCGGGGTGGGCATCACATACATGGCTGCCTAACTGTTTTCCTAGTTGTTCCTGAAATATACTCTTAGCTTGACTATCATTAAGTAGGCCCTAAGAGGTTTCCTTGCAGCGTCTTTCCTACGTCCAGTAAGACGCAAGCAAATACGCGCTCGCACTAGAGCATGATCTGAATCTAGGCATGTGCTCCAGAATGAGCGACAGTCTTCTATCGAGCCCCTCCATCGGTGGCTGATAGCGATGTGATCTATTTGGGTCCAACGTTGGGACGAATTAGGGGGTCGCCATGTTAAAAGATGTTTTTCCTTATGCTTAAAGTTAGTATTTGCAAGGAACAGGCGGTTATCTGAGCATAGCTGCAACAGACGGTCGCCATTATCTGTTCTTTGAGCCACGACACCATAAGATCCACCTAGGTGTCTTTCCCTTTCGCTTAGTTTACCTACTTGAGCATTAAAGTCACCGGCCACTATTACTACATCCGAGCGCCTAGCTTTTCGGAGAAGGTCCGAAAGCTTTCTGTAAAACTCATCTTTTACATCATCTGAGCTGCAGTCAGTGGGAGAATAGGCAGAGACGACGAAGAGGCAACGACGAGTGTCCCTATCTTTCCGGATTCTTACTGTTCCGTTCAGTCGGACAGCGCACAAACGACTGTCTACTGGGATCCACTCTAAGAGAGCTAGTTCTGCCCTAGGACTCAATGCTATACCTACGCCGGCGAGGCCACGGGAAGCAGAATCAGGGCTTCCAGATACACGAAGCGTAAATCGAGTCGGTTCTTTATTTTGGCATGGTGAGGTCAAATGAATGACGCTACTCGGATCCTGTATGCGCGTTTCGGAGACGCAGCACACATCGATGGCGCGAGATTCTAAAGTTTTAGCTAAGGAAGCCTGCTGTCCTATTTGGCAAAGTGTTCGTACGTTAAAAGCTCCTACGTGTAGTTTAGAGCGTGGTTTCAGGAGACCAGGAATGACGTTCCACGTACTCGAATCGTTTGCCCTAGCGGTGCGAGGTGAATAGAGACGTGAGGAGGGTTAGTCGTGGAGATAAGAGAGTTATTAGGAGGTGTAGGAAGGATTTGAATGTGAGCAACTTGGTCTCGTGTGCTGTTACAGGTATGAGGGTTGATATCACTTCCGGGCTGCCCACACTGTGGAAGGGTATTTCTTGAGGACCCTGAAAAAGAAGTGGGTTTGTGTTGGTCTCCGTTCTTCGAAGAGCCTTACCGCCGGAGACGGAAATCCATGAGGTAAGATGAGGTGTGACATTTTCAGGGTCGACCTTTTCTAACCCCGCCCTTCCTTGTGGGAAGGCAGCATCGCTGCAGATGCTGGTTGTCCGAGAGAAACACTTTGCTGCTGTCACACCCCACTACAGTCAGCAGTACGACTTCGCCCTCAGACCTTGAGTTGCTGCTTTTAGCCTTACCGTCCTCTATTCGATGTGTCTGGCATAGTAGAACCTACAGGAACATAGGTTCCGGCCAATATAGCTCGGTTGGGTCATCACGATAGGCAAGCCCGACCACCGCGTCAAGGTAGCAGGTTCGGTCGGGATGTGATATCTTTCTTTCTAATATAGAGGATACCAAGTGAGAAATTTAATAGCGTTAGGAGAGCAGGTCTTGTGTGAACTGAAAATGAATGATGACATTTAAAAATCATTAATTTGCGAAAACCTCATTTTCCGGTTTACTTGCGTCATTGGAATTTAGAATAAACCTTGTAATTCCAACCTGTTATTATCTGACAATAGTTGTGCGTATATTGTGTTATAAATACTGAAGAGCTTACAACAAACAATTAGGGAACATATTACACTTTATCGAGGTTGGTAAAATAGACTATTAACATATCAGTGAAATATCTATCACTCAGAATACCACAATTAAGAGTACATTGCTGTTCAAACGTAGATATCAATCTGTGACTATTGGAGCGCTGTATTTTAAATATCGAAATAGATTCGCTATGTAAGAATTTGCAGTTGACAACATTCAGCAAACATTTTTTAAGGATCAGACTATTATCATGTGATTATAATTTACGCCGAAATGACCGGATAATGAAAAACGCATTGTTTGTACGACCCAGTTTTACTTTGACTCAATTACACAATAACTAAAAAGATAAACACTGAGCACAGAATACATTAGGATAACCGGTTTATAAAATTAATCCCCTTACACATTTGTTCGTTAATCTAACGATTTCTTAGAATTACAATCAGCTGACTAAAATACTAAATGAGAATCAACTTAGTCTATAAAACAGCAATATACTGACTGGTCTTCGTATATCTTTTACAAGTAAATAGTGATATAACAGAATGAAGAAATAATAACCCTTGAGACTTTATGGACTATTATTAAATGAAATCATATTGTATAATTAACAAACAACTGGACTATTATATTCCTGTTCCATTTATTGTAAGCTTTCGTTTGACCCACTATTAGTACACGTTATAAGCAAAGATGCATGGTGGCTAGCAGTGGGATCCAGGACGCACGTTTTATCCTACTCGTCTCGTCAACTGGATGTACCTGCATCCCACAGTTGTTGTCTGTTATGTATTGTGGACAGAAGACGCGTAAAACAAGCAAGAACAGCCTAGAGTCCTGATTGGTCCCGTTTCCCTGTCTAGCACAGCCAGTTGAGTCCAGAATGCAAGTCTCAGCCTCTCAGATATGAATCATTATATTTCAAGCATACTCTTATTTATTTATTTATTTTAACACATAGATATTGGTACAAGGAGGCATCAAATGCATATGCGCCACACGATTCTCATTCGATAGGTGTGAGGGCTGTGATACTGCCCGGGTGCCCAAACCGAAGCAGGCAAGCATACTCTGTTTATATACCAATCAACCCGACCACAACGTACCAATAAAACAGAAAATAACGTCTGTACAATAATTAGCCAGAAGTGGCTGTGAATGAGGGAGGTAGCGATTAACAGATAGGGAATAATTCATGAATGGTAAATCGTACAATAATAGTTCATAGGTCAACATAAAGCTCATAATAGGAGGGGCATGAATATGAACAGTTTAGTTACATAACAATTATGCGATAAAAATATACTCATAATATTGGTCCATAAATGGATCCCAAAAATTACCATTCATTATTCTCATCGAGACACAACACCTCCCCTTTTGAAGATCACGATTTTAAATTTTCCGGGTTCATCCTCCCCCACGAAACAGTGTTGGGTCCTCATATGCCCAACTTATAGTTAATTTGAATTTATTTAAGACATATTTGTCGTACTGAACAGAGGATCGATTGAAAGTGACTGAGTGGTGAGGCTGAACGACAATTGCTATAAGGTGATCGAAGTTTGACTCTTCTGAAATATTGTGACTAAATTTATGGGGAACACCACTAGTAGATAGTGGATCACTATGATAATCAGCGTCCAACAAAATGAAAATCGTGTGGCGCATATGCATTCGATCCCTCCTTGTACCGCTGCGCACCTTAATCTCCAGTCCACAAGACACAACAGTGTCCACTCCGGGACTCAAACCCAGTACCGTTCGCTTCAAACGCCATCGCGTTATCCACTTAGTTACTGAGTCTTGATAGTCACTAGCTTGTGCAGTGGGGTGAGGTTTAATTTATTTTTGTACATTAGTACACGTCATTATTTCAAAATTATTACTAATTGGGTATTTGCAGCTTGTCTGACTCATTTCCACTCTATATATGAGTACCGTTTTTCATTTTATGATCTGATATAGTCCTGTATGGAAACTTATGACTCCTTGGAATAATAATAATAATAACAGAACCTTTGGCTGCTATCTTCTTATATAGGAATTGACGGACCAATAGGAGCGAAGCATATGTTAGCATCAACTCGACGTTAATCGTATTGGTCGGGCTATGCCATCGGTTAAGGCCTATGATACTAGACTATAAGGAGAATAACATAGACGAGTAGAAAATTATAGATGGAAGTTTGACTGGCAAGCCTATCTAGTGGTATTGATTAACGTCTCAGACATAACAGATACACACATATACATACAACAGGAAGTAGAGTAAGGCTCATATCCAAGTATCTAGTGAATGAGTTTAAAATCTTCTAAATGGTAGGTGACATAGACCGATACTATTTATAGTGCTGATGTATTTTTCATGTTCTATCTTTTTCAAAGATCTTTGTTTTATATAAATCACCCCATCCTTAGCATTTATTGATTTTATTTATTAAGTTTAAAGTATGTCCTGTGCGCTCAATGTTCACTATCAGCGATACAGTTATTTCAATGCTTTTTCGTTCCGTTAACCTATTTTTACTACGCTAATATAAAGCGCCACAACTTCAATCGATGTATATTTGCACTGCATTGTACCATGTTGTTTCTGATTAACTGACCAACTGAAAACTACAGAATATAGTTTAGTTTGAACAACTGAGATTCGATAGGTCTAACCAGTAAGCATTACGAAGAAACAATCTTTATAATTTGTTTTAAAGAACAAATTAACACATACCGATCTAGTAGACATTCATACAGATTGCCAGAATGACGAGCGCGCTTTACATTACTGAAATCTTCTTTGCTTAAACGAAGCTTTTGATCTTGCCAACTTTGGAATTTACGTCTAGAAATAAAGTGGATTAAAATAGTTGTTTTATTTAATAAGAAACTACCCAGATCATTTTACTTTAAAATTGCGACAACCTTAGGAAAGTAGAACAAACACACAAAATTTCCATTACGATACTTCTCATCATCACACTCTAATGAAAACTGACAAAAAGAATACTGACAACGAGTGTCACTTATAAATAAACCATGTAGAATGAGGCATAAAATGAACATTTATTATGGCTACCATGAGATGATGCAACACAGTGGCTAGAGACGTTATCAGATATGGCTCAGAATAGAAGCCGCTGGCGATCCTACTGTAACCTTCTTTTACTTTCTTCATAAAAAGTGGTTGTATCTTCCTTAACTGAAAGATTTCTTCTGGTTGTACCTTTCCGTTACCCCCATTATTATTATTGCACTACTTTACACTAATCTGTGGTCGTTATTGTTCTTTTTTTCTTGTACTCCCCTTACCTTCTTTTTTCTCTTCCCATTCTCATTGTTTTGTGTGGCGCATATATGTTTGGTGCTCCCTTGTAACAATATTTATGTGTTCAAATAAATAAATAAATAATGGCCACCATACTTCACATTGTTATAAATTAGAACTCACGATGGTTGGTGAACGAGTTTTGGATTATTAAAATGAATGCAATTTAGTACTAATAGATGCAGTGATACAATGTGGCCGAGTAATAACTGCTAAGAAAACAGAACTATTGATGCAAACCCCTGCATAGACTGAGACCAAAGACAATACCACTAACCAGAAAGATAACATGCTTAGGTCCAAAATATTGAACACAAAAATAAGCATGATTAAATTTCACAAAGAATCGAACAATGCTGATTTTACAAGTCACTCATCCTCCAACGAATTAAAAACTGATTCTGTTAGACTTAGTTCTTGTTCAAATCACAATAGCACAACCAGATGGAAAATCAAAATGATGAAAATTAAAATAACTGAAATAATAATAGTATCAATGAGAGAAACGAAACCTGGAAAATTTAGTTGAAAGACAATAAATAAAGGAATGAAGAGTATAGGGTGATAATAGAAATCAAGATTTAAGGGAGGCCAAATGTTGAATACATTCGACCGACGGTAAATAACATCATCTTTGATCTCCAATCAATAAAGATATATTAAATTGTTGATAGCCTTGATTTATAAATTTCTATATGAATAAAGTTGGAAATGTACAGTATACTGTGGATCACATAAGCATACATTTGTGGTTCAATGTACGGTAGATATCGTTAATTTGTAACTCACAAAGTACAGGTTTATGTAATTGGCTTTCAGTCAGTTTGTGTCACGGCCAACAATACTACCCATACTTTCCAAAATGAACTAGCGGCAGAGTAGTTCGACCCTGCAACCCACCAGTCGGAATCCAAGTATTTTAAACACTGAGTCATCCAATGAAATACAAGTAGGAGTCGTACAGAATATAGAGAAAATAAATTAATTAACAACTTACACATAATTAACTTCAGCTTTTTTCAAGCCTTCGCGTTCTTCTTCTGGTATATCCAATAAAGGATCATGGATAAGAGGTTTATTAGAACGAAACTATGAGAAAAAAGTGATAAACAAAGATAAGCCGTTTGAATAAAGTATAGAAAACATCAATCAGACACAAAATCATCACCAATTAAGTAACAACTCAAAATATTTGCATAACATCAGTTTCTATGAGTTGAAGATTGCTTACAGTTGAAATGAACTATAACTACATATTAGAGGAAATATTGTACACCGCTATTAAGACAAGCAAAAGATGTATGCACTTTCGAAAGACCCCTTGAATGTCGTACTACCATTGGATAAATGATATTTTGGGTTTCAATAGCAGCCACCATCTAGACGAAGTACAACAAAATAATGCTTACAACAGTCAAGCTAAAACAAACTAGGAATCCATGAAAGTTTTTACTATTGGTATTGGCTGTGTAGGAAAGTGAAAACTTTTTGGATGATGTTTGTATTTTAGTATGTTGAGAGGAATTGTGCAGCATTAATTTAAAGGCCAACTTTATACCAAAATATTTACAAAATTCATCACTAAAAATGTATATATCCTTATGTTATATGATAACAATTATTGGGAACACCACTTCTTTACAATTTGTTCTATCTAGCAAATTTTAGTCTTATGTAACTGAACACAAATAATTGAAAACTATACGTTAATCTTGAACACTGAACAGATATTTTGCAATCAAATTAAACTGAAAAAACTGACAACAATTACATACAATAACCATTTCATTGGTTTTGGCTTGTTGACTTTTGAATATAATATCATCCGTAATCGGATCAGCTGAAAGGAAACAATTGTTTGCTCCTAACATAGCACTACGACCATCTTGAAAAATTGGTTCGAATTGTTCAAAAACTCCAACAGCATCTGCTGTGGCTGCCAAAATAGCATCGGATTTGGTAGAAACACCAAGATATCTACCGTACCTGTATTTCAAACAGAAAACAAAACCGAGATTATTGTGTTTATAGGAAAAAGATAGCAGTTTAAAAAACGAACAATGATTGCAGATATTGTTTGACAATGGTTCCACATTATTTTACGGGACGGGTGACATGATACGGTAAGAATCAAGCCTGATAGTAGTTAATCACTAATCCTATTGGAAAGTAAACGACCTATGGTTCTTTAAATTATTTGTTAATTCACATTTATACATGTTTACTTTTCTGTTCAGTATTTTATAAGGATTTTATTTCGTTATAAGAATATATTCTAATGAGCAGCTGTCTTGTCTTATGATATTAATTAACTGTGAAGAAGAGGCGGTTATTATCTGCCCACATTTTATCATCCCACAGCATCTATCGATCAGTGCGCTTTTCTTTCATCTTAACAGCTGGAAATTCATTCATAAAATCCCATTTCATTACACTGTTATTATAAAAACTCCATATTAACACACTTGTATTTATTTATACAATTTTTATTGCATAAATCTCTTTAAAATCAATGATAAATACGTATTCGAACGACCATCAGGTTAAATGTCACTCCAGTGCAAACCGTGATGGAAAGAGTATATGGGCAAAATTTTCTCTCCTTGGAACAGACGTTGAAACTAACGACTTTCATTTAAAATTAAAAATGAAACATCAATTATGAAGTACGCTCAAAACAAAACCTAATGACGATAACACCCTAACTGTTTGGGCTTTGACCAGACTCCTTTAAATTATCTAGCATCAATACAAGTCAGTCAATCAGTCATCTACAACGTACGACCAGGTACATATATGAATTGGTCCAACTTTCCATACCTCAGTAGCACAAAAAGATGAACATCAAATTCATAGAAGCAGTTACTTCAACGTTAGTTATACATAAAGAAAGACTGCATATAAAGATATGATACAGGGATAAGGAATTAGTTCATAGGAAGAAAGGTATAAAGCAATTTTAATCTAATAGTTTAAGGGAAAACAGAGTGTACATATTTACGCCATTTTGATCGATTGTGAGTCATGGTCACTCAGTCTTCAACCATTGGTTACGATTGTCGCACGGACTCCAACCAAGTGGTTTGCATCTACCAACATGGCTCAGACTAGAAGTTAGTGAATTGTGGACAGTTACCACATTTATAGTTTGGCTGCCCCTAACTTTCTTCCATTCGTCTACAACACTAGTTAGCACTGCGTGCCGTCGTAATCGGTAGTGGGTAATATGAACTAATACGGCGCGTATTTCTAAATTGAAAACAAAGAGATATTCCAGCAGAATAAACTTTATTATCCAAACATTCACAATAAGAGCTAATTCCTTTGAGGGGAGTTGGTTAGAGACTCTACAACCACAAATTAAGGTAAATTACATTGTAAAACCTATTTTATTTGAATTATAGAACAAAAAACTACTACTCACACTAACTAACCCGGATTTAAATGCAACTTTAGTATCCGAAACTTGCATAGCGGTGAAAATCTCTTCTGGAGCTGGTGGTTCTCCGTACTTCCTTGGTGGTCCGATAACAACCAAACCTTCATCGGTAGCTGATAAGTAACAAGCACCTGTAAACTCCTTGTTATTAGCATCCTGTCCAGAGTGTGTAGCTGCTTCAAATCCATCAGTCGTCAACGGTTTATCAGTTGCAACATAAACTTGTATTGCTATTGAATCCTTCACTTCATCGAATTCTTTCACAGACCACCAGCCACCATGAGCATCTGCTTCCAAAATACGTTCTGTTTTCTCAACCTTTGGTTTCGATTCGTGATGTCTTTTGTGGTGCTTTTTCTTCTTCTCACCTTTTAATTTTAATTTTCCAGGTCGGACAAATGAGTAACTGTCCATCGTCTAAAAGTCGATGTAAATTTTCAAATACATATTACACCATACATTGCATAAATCTTACGTCCATGCTAAACATTCTATATAAGATAATTCCCCTACTCAGTAATCTTATGTAAAAGGATAGTGGTAATTTACAAGACGTTAAACCTTAGAAGTTGAAGACTAGTTTGTCTTAGATATAATAATTGCAAAAAGTAAAAGCAGTTGATCTGTGTTTACAAAATAAAACTATAACACCAGATAATTTCAGTTAGTCATCATCAATGCAGAGCCTGGCATAAATGTACATCGAACCAATTAATCATACTAAATCCACACGAAATGAAATTAAAAGAAATAGTAAATGAGTCGGAGTTGTAGTACTGATGATATTAAAAAAGACTAAACATGGACAAAGTATGTATGAAAGAATACTGTGATTCAAGATGGGACGGAAGATATAGAGTAAATGCATCTGCACCACTATCAACGGTTTCAAGACATCACTATAGTCTCCAGTTACTGATTGCCGTTATAGCGCGGACTTTAACCATCTAGTGTACATCTACCATCATGGTTCAGACCAATGTTAATGACTTCTTGAACTGATGCTACGTCTTGGTTTGGCTGTCTCCTAGCTTTATTCCAACTTACTCCCATTTCACCAAACATAGCTTGTCGAGGTAAGCTGTGATTAGGCATAAACAAACACGTCCTTAACACCTTAACCAGTAAGGATTTATCGCCTCCTCAATTGACACCCCGCTTTTGATCACTAAATTAAGCTCGACTTCAACATTGTGTACAAGACTGCCTTGTACACAACCACGCCAGCGGTAGCTGATCACGATGTGATCAATGAGTCTAGGCTTGAGATGCAGAGGGTGGACGCCAGGGGGCACATCGGCGATGACTGTGTCGGAAGTTAGTGCTAGCCAGAAACAGGTTGTTGTCTGTGCACAGTTGCAGTAGACGGTCCCCGTTATCTGTCCTGCGACCAGCAATTCCCCATCGGTCACCTAAACGACTCTCTTCTGTGCCTAGATGCCCGACCTGAGCATTCAAGTCTCCGGCTAGTACTACAATATCTGTCGAACGCACTTTCTGGAGAAGAACAGATAACTGGTGGTAAAACTCATCCTTGATTGCATCCGGGCTGCAATCTGTCGGGGCATAGGCGGAGATGACGAAGAGACATCGTTTCTCACGCCGATTTCTCCTTACTTTGATGGAACTCTCCAACCTAACAGCACATAACTGACTGTTAATGGGGATCCAACCGATTAGTGCTGCCTCAACTCTAGCGCTTAGTGCGACACCAACGCCAGCAAGACCAGACGAAGATGCCACAGGGTCCCCGGATAAACGCACGTAAAACAATCCTTTTGAAGCGACAGATGGAGAGCGAATTTGCAGTACTTCACCAGAGTTTTGAATACGGGTCTCGGATAGACAGCAAACATCGATATTAAGACTTTCTAAAGACATAGCCAGCCCTATCTGTTGTCCAACCTGCATAAGTGTGCGGACGTTGAAGACAGCCAGTTTGAATGGTGTACGTGGTTTCAGAAACACTGCCTCAGTACTCATATTCGGTGGTAACATACAATTTTCAACCGGACAGTGACTCAAGAACGTTTAGATAGAGTCGAATTTCCACCATAGACGAGCTGCTGTATAAGTCGAAAAAATAAGTATAGACAGAGTAGGAATAAAAGAGGGTGAATAATGACGTGATAAATAATAATAATAATAATAATAATAATAATAATAATAATTTGAATCATTTGATTGTTAGTCGAAGCAAGAAAAGTAGTTTCCATAAATTTAGACAGTTCATCATTTGTGTGTGGGCTGTGATACTGCCCGGGTGCTCAGACCGAAGCAGGTGGTTATCTTAGGGGGCCACACCCCGAGCCTTTGACCTAAAGGTCTAACCCACAAGACAGTGGAGCATCGTAAAGAGATATGGTCCCATGGTAGCCGGTGGCCGAAAATTGGTCCATACCCCATTTGTTCCCGCAGGATACTGGAGCCCATGTGCACCACTGATTTGGTTTGGAATCCGGTTAAAGCGCCGGACATTCACTTTTCTTCCTCTCATTTTCGTAAACAACACCCGCCACGAGAAGGCAGTGAGTAGGAATTCCCTAACAGAGGCTGTATACGCGTGGCCGTGTGAGAGTATTTCGAGAGGGAGGGCGAACCCAACACGCTCCCGGTCATACCAGGACATCAGTGTACAAACCGTATATCGAATTGGAGTCATTAGCTAAGACACTAAAATCCCATGGCTTTGATGTGTAGTATGTCTCCGAAACATATATACAGGATAATAGCGTTATCACTGACTCATAGAACCTATATGGAGAGCCAACAATATATACCCTGCAGGTATCCTAAGACGAAACGAAGAGTTCTCATAGTTTTGTTGATGCATGTGTAGTACTAAATTTGAAGGCTGAACACAGACTTTCTGATTGGATTCCTGTCGACAGTTACCCATATGCTGTCCATCCCAATGGAATCACAAGAACTTGAGAAGATACAGACACACCCCATCGCCCCTCCACCGTTTCTGCCTATGTCCCCATTGACTGCATCTTGGAGTGAGTAAAAGACTAGTTATATAACGTACTTTCAAAACCCATCTGCTTAGACGTATTAGTTGCAACAGGCGATCATCGTACTCAAGTTGGTAGACTAAGCTAAATTGAAACGTACTTGTATGGGGCATGTGGTGTTTCAACAAAAGGAGCGGATAACGGAGGTTATCTAGTGCAATTATGCTCAGATAACTGGCTATCCTGGAAAGTGTGAACTTTAGACAAAATGAAAAACACTGTCTGACCTGTTGACGCAGATCAACACTGATGGTTACAAATAGATCATATCACCATCACGCATCGTTGAGGAGGCTCGACCGCAGACTGCCGCTCCTTCTAAAGTACATGCTTGGAGTTTGGTCATACCCTGCTTAGTGTATGCATTATTAAGCGTTTTACTGGCAAGAAAACCTTCAGATACCAATTCGATTGAAAGGCTAGGCATCGACTAAGGGAAGAATCAGCTAAGTACCTAGTCGGTCGTGAAGAAACGGTTTGTCCTGAAATAGCTTAGAATGATGTTTAAAAAGCTGTAAATATAATAACGGCGTCCACTAACGACTTATATCGAGTCTATGGGACGCTGATGGATTCAGATGGCATCTACAAATTGACGTGCGCCCCGAACATCATCTCGAGAGGCCTGGAGAACGATGAAGCGCGGTGAAAAAAGCGATGAAAAGCGCAGCGTATCCAGATGTGATCTGATGTAAGGTGTTTAGATCGATCTACAAGGCTTTCGGAGACCATGCTGATACAATCGCTCTGATGAGAAAGATCAACCTTTGATATTTTAGAAAATTCCATAACAGTAATAACCTTCAGGGGATCTGGGAGAAATTGACTTTTCTAAAAGTAAGTCAAAAATAAGGTGCCACTGTCACAATAAAATTCAGTCTTAATCTTAAAGGTTAGACGAAAAATCCCCTTGCTTCTTGTTCTCAGTAGCTCTTTTAGTGGAAAATTATTAAGATTTTTTTCGAATCCACAGCTTGGCTCTATCGCAAACAATCTTTCTGTTTTGGAGAAAATTTTGTCGCTTTTGAGTAAATTCTGAGGTAGCCGCAATAAAGTACTTCAGGGAAATGGCACAGAACCCCTAAGACATTCTAGGTTCTGGGGAAAATCCCCAAAGTTTTGAGGAAACCCTCAAAATGTTCGGGAGAATTATGAGTTTTTCTCGCATCTCTGTGCTAATGTGGTATGGTAACTCGAACTGATGTACGTACGTACGAAGTTCTACGTTGTTACTGACAGACTGATGCGTTTTCAGTCTTCAGTAATAAGGATAGTAGGTTGATGAACCTGTGTTAATCCTGACACATTGCTTTCCAGTGAAGGTCCAGCTTTTCCTTGAAAGTATTCACTGATGGGGCTGATACCACTTGTTCGGGTAAGGCGTTCCAATGATTGACTACTCGATGAGAAAAACGGGATCCCACTTTAAGTTTATTAGATCGTGGTTTATGAACCTTCTTGCTATGACCTCGGAGATTATTAGTGCTGGAGGGAGCAAAAAGATAAGACATATTAACACCCAAATCATAATTAAAGATACGAAATGCCAGTATAAGGTCACCTCGTGTCCTACGATACGACAAGGGGAAAAGATTTAGGCGTTTTAAGCGCTCATCGTAAGGGAGACTAGAAAGACCCTTCACTAATTTCGTTCCCACACGCTGGACACGCTCAAGGGAGTTAGTATCCTTTACTAGACACGGGCTAGCTGCTTGGATACAGTACTCTAAATGTGGTCTAACATATATGGGGTATAAAATTCGAAACGTTTCCTCGTCAAAAGATTTGAACGCTCGGCGAAGTGACCATAACGCACGAAAACCTTTGACAGCGGCTGCTTTGCAATGCGCAGTTGTTTTTAAGTCATGACTTAATATTACTCCTAAGTCCTTATGCTCTTGAACGCATGGAAGAGGTTTACCCTCAATAGTGTAACGGTAACTATTACCGTGACCGACGTGCATTAGTACACTCTTCCTAGCATTAATTTCTAAGCCCCACTCTCGAGCCCATCTAACTAAATCGTCTAAATCAGCTTGAAGATCCACATGATCAGCCGCACTTTTTATTGTTCTCCAGATTTTTACATCATCTGCAAACAATAATGTCGACGACCTAAGTAACAGTGGTAACTCATTAACGTAGAGAAGGAAGAGCAGAGGGCCTAAGATGGTGCCTTGGGGTACACCACTTTTGACCGGCTTCCAATCGGATAGCGTTCCATTGACCCTAACTCTCTGTCTGCGGTCACATAAGAAATTTCCTATCCACTCATGTACAGTACCTATTATTCCGAAGCTCGTGAGCTTCTGCATAAGACCTACGTGTGAAACCTTGTCAAACGCTTTGCTAAAATCTATGAATATCACGTCGACAGACAGACCGTGATCTAGGGCTGCTGTCCAATCCTCCCTCGCAATAAGCAAGTTAGTCAAGCATGAACGCTTGTTACGAAATCCGTGTTGCTCAGGAGCTAACAGATTGTGTAAATCTATGTGGCTTAGCAACCTAACCCGAATTATCTTTTCGAGTAACTTAACGACTATGCTAGTTAGACTGACAGGCCGGTAGTTAGATACTATCTGTCGCTGACCGTCCTTAAATATAGGACTAACTATAGCGTCCTTCCAATC